TCTGGCAATCGATAGTTCCGGGGAAGATGGGTCCGGTCAATTTCTGGCGGGTACGGCCTCGTATATCTTGGTGCTTCCGGCCGCCTCTGAGCCAGGCCGTCCTCGATCATTCGCCGGACATCTTCGAATCGGAGCCCCTGGGGAGGGGCCTCTTGCTGGGCTGCACCTGGCCACGGGCCCTATTGCGTTTCGTTCTGTGGCCTTATCTGCTGGGCCACTTGAACAGGGGGCTCGGTTGGTATGGCCGAGCTAATTGGCGCTAGATGAGCGCCATGGGTTTGGCCAGGGTGCGTGTATGCTGCCGTCGGGAATAACGACGCCTGCAATGGTGGTGAAACGGTCGGGTTGCTCTGACCGTACTGTTGTGACGGAGCAGCAGTCGCGCTGTTTGGGCCAGGATGGGTCTGGACGGCCGCAGTGTGAACTGGGCTGAGTTGCTGAACTGCGGAATGTGTGGGACTGGTTTGTCCCAAGGACACGGCCAAAGCGTGGAGTGGTCCGTACGCCGTTTCTGCCGGGTAACTTGGTCCGGGACTGCCCCCAGCTATTAGTCGGTGGCAGCGAATGCTGACCGTAACCTGACGCTTGGGTTCGGCCAGAGATGCCAAGGCTGCTGCTTTCGCCGTAAGGCTCGATCCTTTCGCGCTCCTGGCTTCTCTGTCCGGCTCTAGGAGGTGTTGCGGGCGAGATCGCCGACATCCTTTCCTGGAAGAGCGTCCGCAGTTCCAAGGAAAACCTGTCCATTGCGGCCATAAAGGATGTCTCTATCCTGTGGGCCTGCTTAAACATCAGATCTTCCACGGCTTGCTCTTGTATGGACTCGGCCGTGTGATCTGTCGTCACTGGGACGTTGGCCGAGATTCTGACCGCGTGTTCGGTCTCGGTGACAGTGATTGGTGAGGTGGACTCAGGAGTCTCAGAAGTCATTTCGACTGCTTTGTTTTTGAGCTTTGCCTGTGCCGTAGTTTCCACCATGAGTTTTTGACAGAGTCCCACCGGGCGTGCCAAAAGTGTTGGATGCGCAAATCTCACGGCCTGGAGCTCCGGGCTGAGGGGATGTGCGTTAACACGTGGATTCCTTCTTTTGGATGCGGTGCGGTTGTGCGCGGGCGTGCCAGCACGGTCTACTGTGCGTCGAGATGGTGATGTGGATGAAAATGGTTAATGGTGCGCCTGTTTGGGTTCAGTGCGCCTGTTTGAGTTCGACTTCTAATCAAACGATTGTGGCCGAGAGAGGAACTGATCTCGGCCGTCAGGTTCACGGCCTGAGCTACAAGGCCGTTTAATGGTGGTGTTGATGGAGGATTTTGGGCGTTGCTCCGGCACGTTGCTCAGGGAGCGACGGTCGTATGATATATGGGATGAATGAAAGAGTAACAAAGATGATGCTCCGGCGCCTTGAAAATCAAGGGTCGTATGATATATTGATGAACGGATTTTCCTTACAAACTAACACTACTCCTAGGAAAGCAAGTAAACATATTGAAAGTGCATTACAGGAAAATATAATTTGCTCCGTGGGAGGCTTTGGTTTGGTGTTTGAACCCTTTGAATGTAGCTTGAACTTGGTATTTACAGGAGGAGCGCTTGGAGGAGTAATCGAGGCTGAAAATCTGCATGGTGGAGCCTGATCAGAGCAAGTGGGTAGTCCAATCGACATTTGGGATCGTGAAGCATGGTGGTGTGCCCCCATGAATCCTTGTAAATCTCGGCCGCCGCCCTGATCGTGGGTTCTGCGCCTCTGGCCGTGGGGACGCATTTAATGCCCTTGTTTGGTGGTTGGCTATCTGACCCCAATTTGTAAGAATGTTTGTGAGCATGTTGGCGCCTAACCACTATGATTTCTGTCACCAAATCCTGACTTTAGTCGCTTCCCTTCTTCCCTCGTGCATTAAATGCCCTTTTGCGGCTAGTGGGGTTGCTAGTCAGAGGCGTTACTTCATTAAATGAAGCATGAGACCCTGCTGCCATGTGACGATTTGACTCTTAATATCTTCGGCCTTGTCCCCTCGACCTCGGCCTGCCGATACCGCGTTTGCAAGGCCGAGATGACTATACCTTCGCAACTTTTCCTTTGTTTTGAGGAAGGCAATTGGATTGCGAACAGGTGCTGAGGCCGAGGGGGAAGACCCCTTTGGTCAGTGTACGACCGTGATTTATCAGGCACAAACAGATTTTGGGGAATCGAATGACATAATGACGTAGATCGCGTCGAGGTGAGTCTGTAGACACGTAGTGGGCTTAAATCGGAGTTATAACTAAGAAGTTATGATATACGGAAGCCCAATGGCATAACAGTAAATATTTCAAAGTTGGTTTTTAAAATATTAGATTTCTCTTTCTCTCTTCCTCTCTCTCTCTCTCTCTCTCTCTCTCTCTCTCCCTCACGAATCTGCCTCTCTCTCCTCCTCCACAAACAGAAGATTTTAGACAGAGATATCTCTGCCGTCCGGCCACCAAAATCGGTGCCACAACTTGAAAACTTTTAGTCTCTGTCTCCTCTTTCCATACATACCCATATCTAGCCTTGATTCCAAGCAATTAGACCAGAAATTCGAACCAAAGTGGAGCTAAAAAATGGGCTGTTTCAAAACCATGGCTGTCGACGGCTTTTCCGGCCAACTCCGGCCACCACCACCCACCAATTGACTCCCAAAACACTCCCATACCTCTCCTCTGTAATTTCATCTCGAAACCATCGAATCCAAACCTAGAAAATTGTAGGTTTTTCGAAGAGAAAACCATTCTTTCGAGGGCTTTAATGACTGAATTGATCTATGAGCAAAGGTATAAACTTACTCTTCTTGATGTGCTTGATCTTTTGGCGTAGATCTTGATCGGCAGTTTGGAGATTTTCCGATTGACGGAATTTACTCTGGCCACCCACGCGCTGCCGGCGAGTGTGGCAGCACGTGGGCCACTTTTGGGTGGTCCATTTGGTTCTAAAATGATCCCCATGTCGTCCCGAGTATGACAGAATGCTCGGATTTGAATTTGGTTATCGTTGGACCGTCGATTGGATTACATATATTAGGCGTTATTCGGGTTCAACATCTTCGGACCGTTGGATTGAAGATCAAGGGTCGTATGATATATTGATGAATGGATTTTCCTTACAATCTATCACTACTCCTAGGAAAGCAAGTAAAGGTATTGAAAGTGCATTACAAGAAGATAAATGACAGGAAAATGTAAATTGCTCCGTGGGAGGCTTTTGGTTTGGTGTTTGAACCTTTTGAATGTTGTTCGAGCTTGGTATTTATAGGAAGAGCTCTGGAGGAGTAATCGAGGCTGAAAATCTACATGGTGGAGCCTGATCAGAGCAAGTGGGTAGTCAAATCGGCATTTGGGATCGTGAAGCATGGTGGTGTGACCCCGTAAATCCCAGCGTGGCCGTCTATGAAGGACAGGAGCTTGTGCTTCGCGGCTCTGTCCACCAGGAGGTCGGACATAGGCATGGGGTACTCGTCTTTGGGGGTCGCGAGGTTCAGATTTCTGTAATCGGTGCAAACCCTCAAAGCTCCAGTCTTTTTTAGAACTGGTATGATGTTAGCCAACCACTCGACGTACCGCGCCTTACAGATGAAGCCGGCTTTAACTGGTGACCTAATCTCTCAAGCTGTAAGAATATTTGTGAGAATGTTTGTGCCTAACCACTCTGATTTCCATCACCAAAACCCTAACTTCAGTCACTTCCCATCTTCCCTCGTGCATTAAATTCTTTTTTGCGGCTAGTGGGTTTGCTGCTATAATCAGAGGCATTACTTCATTAAATGAAGTGTGGGACCCTGTCGCCCACGTGGCGATCTATCCTCAATCTCCCTAGCCGTGTCTCTTTCGCCCCTTGGTCTCGGCCTCATATACCGCGGTCGCGAGGCCGAGAGGAAGTTCTTTCGGTCAGTCCACGACCGAGATTTATTAGGCACAAACACTGCCCCCACATCCCCGGATTCTTCGATCGCGGCATGGGTAGAGGCCGAATGGATTCCAGGGGATGGACCCTTCACGTTCCTTTTGAAGTGATTGACAGTTGGTGCCTTAAATGCGCAAGTCGATCGGCGCATTTAATACGCAAGCACGTCGTTTAGGCCATCATTGCCCTGATTTGCGCGAGCTGTCGTTTTCGTCTCGTCAATTGAAACGACGACCTCTGGGCTTCCGACACGTCACTGCGCACTTGAGCACGCTGTCAGACCGTTACGTCTCTTGAGAGGGCCACACCCTTTCGTTTCGAATTCTAGCGCCAATATAAAAACCCTGCCTTCTTCGTTTTTCCTCATGCCTTCAAAATTCTCGAGCTCATGCTCCCCAAAGGTTGTTTCTGAACTCTCTAACTTCCTCAGCTTTCTCTCTTTTATTCTGAAAATCTTTCCCTTGTTCAGTGGTCTCTCGCTCGTAGACACAGATGTTTCTTTCTACCATTCAAAAATTCTCGAGCCTTCAGTCGATTCCTGGGCTTCCAGTTTCGATTGCTGGGTTTTATCTTCATTCTTCCTTCAACCCTTCCCCTTCAATTTTAATCCGCTCTAATGACCTTTATAGCGGCCTCTCCAAGGCCGGGACCGGGCCCTACCCACTGAACCTCACGGCGTGGCAGTTTGGCCTGATCCAGATGGCCCCTCTTTCGCCGCTGTCCACTAACCGTCTCTCGTCTTGGAAAGCCAATGTGAGCCAAGGTCATGATGTGGCCGAGATTTCTTCCCAGCCCCTGAGGGGGATGACCTTTCTCTCTTTGAGGTCGTGGAGAAGCTGCAATGCGATGAGCATCTGCCTGTTTAGCGAGGGGATCAAAGCCGTCTTTCATAGATTTTTAGGATGTAATCTGTATTTCTTATATGTTTTTCTAATTGGCCATGACCGGCCGTTCCTTTGTAAACACGATGCCCTTTTTGATTTAAATGAAGTATAACTTCCTTCTTTCACCGACTGAATGCATGCTTTCCTTTTTTAGCTTCGTTGTGTTGTTTACTTCATTCATTTGTTAATTGCAAACCTCATAACTATATCTCGGCCGTCTCCCATAATGATGGGGTATATTTCTTTAAGTACTGGCCGTTTATTGGCAAGTTGTGTCGTTCTCCATCCCTATCTATCAACTGAAATGCACCTCGGCCGAGAATTCGTTCGATAATAAACGGCCCCTCCCAGTTGGATGAGAATTTACCGAACCGAGGGTCTTTAGTCCCATTAGGAAGCAGAGGGTCTTTTGTCCCATTAGGAAGCACGGCTCGCCATACCAAGTCGCCTTCGGCGAAAGTTTTTTGCTTGACCTTTCTGTTGTAGGCCCTCGCCGTAATCTTCTTTTGTGCTTGCATCAAGTTATAAGCATCGAGTCTGGACTGCTCCAAATCTTCTAACTCCTGAGCCATGGCTTGCGCGTAGTCCTTCCTTTCTGGCCTAGGCCGCTCGGTCACACGGAGAGACTGAACCTTTAACTTTATTGGAACGATGGCGTCATGACCGTAGGTTAAGGCATAAGGGGACGTGCTAGTAGCCGAGCGTTTTGAGACTCGGTAAGCCCAAAGGGCTTTAGGGAGTAAGTCGTGCCAAGCCCTTGATTACCTTGTTGCTCGCCTCGGCCTGTTCGTTAGACTGGGGGTAGTAAGGTGTTGAGTGAACTAATTTGATCCCCATCCTTTCGGTGTACTCCCGAGTCTCGGCCGATGCGAAAACTAGGCCGTTATCGGCCGTGATAGTCTCGAGTATACCGAATCTGTGGACGATGTGATTTTCAAAGAATTTGACCACTTGTGCGCTAGAAATTGACCGATAGGACTCGGCCACGACCCATTTATTAAAATAGTCGGTTGCCACCAAAATCCATGCGTGTTGGTTGGACGCGGCCGGATAGATTTTGCCAATGATGTCCACGGCCCATCCTCTGAACGGCCATGGTTTGGTGATCGGGTGAAGGGCTTCGGCCGGTACCCTTTGTATGGGGTCGTAGATTTGACATTTGACGCACCCCCTTGCATATTCTATGCAATCTTTTAAGATAGTCGGCCAGTAGTAGCCGTGCCTTCGAACCAACCATCTCATCTTGATGCCGGACTGATGGGCGCTACAAATCCCTTCCTGAGACTCAGCCATAATTACCTGAACGTCTTCGGTATTAGGACATAGGAGTAATAGGCCGTCTGACCCCTTTCGATACAGTTCGTTCTGATAGATCAAATAACACCGAGCCCAGAAGCGCGTAGTCCTTTCATGGTCACCGGAGGGGTCGCACAGATACTTCACTATTGGGTAGCGCCAGTCTGCTTCGACCGTGTTGACTTTGTCGGTGATTTCGGGCGATGACATTTGCGTTGTCATTCCTCGTTCGGCCAAAGCCGGCAAGGTACGCCTCTCGATTCTTATCACGTGGCCGTGGTAGCCGTCCGGAATGTGCATGCCCGACGCTACCTGGGCCATCTCATTGGCCTCATGGTTTTCAGCGCGCGGCACATGAACAAAGGAGATTCTAGAAAACTCATCGGCCGTATTGAGGGCCGTTACGTAATACATAGTTAAATTCTCGCTTGTGCATTGGTATTCCCTGGTCAGTTGGTTAATTACTAGCTGAGAATCACCGTAGACCAAGACACGGGTTGCCTTCATTTCTTTCAGAATTCCGAGACTGATAATAAGTGCTTCGTATTCGGTCTGATTATTGGTGCATCTCACGTGGCCGTGGTAGCCATCCGGAATGTGCATGCCCGACGCTACCTGGGCCATCTCATTGGCCTCATGGTTTTCAGCGCGCGGCACATGAACAAAGGAGATTCTAGAAAACTCATCGGCCGTATTGAGGGCCGTTACGTAATACATAGTTAAATTCTCGCTTGTGCATTGGTATTCCCTGGTCAGTTGGTTAATTACTAGCTGAGAATCACCGTAGACCAAGACACGGGTTGCCTTCATTTCTTTCAGAATTCCGAGACCGATAATAAGTGCTTCGTATTCGGTCTGATTATTGGTGCATTTGAAATCAAGCTGGAATGCAAACTGCCACCTTTGTCCTTGAGGGGACTCGATCACGACTCCGGCCCCAGACATGGTCTTGGTACTGGAGCCATCGAAGTACATGGTCCAGTAGTTCTTCTCCATGCGGGCCTTGCCGATCTCGACTTCTAACTCTTCCTCCTGTCCCTGAGCCGGGTGCTGAGCCAGGAAATCGGCCAACGTCTGACCCTGTCGGTTGCGCAGATCTCACGGCCTGGGGTTCCGGGCCGAGGGGATGTGCATTAACACGTGGCTTCCTGCTTTTGGATGCGGTGCGGTTGTGCGCGGGCGTGCCAGCACGGTCTACCGTGCGTTGAGATGTTGAGGTGGATAGAATGGTCAAGTGGTGCGCCTGTTTGAACTCGTCTTCTAATCAAACGATTGTAGCCAAGAGAGGAATTGATCTCGGCTGCAAGGTTCACGGCCTGAGCTACAAGGCCGTTTAGGGGTGGTGCTGATGGTGGGTTTTGGGCAGTGCTCCGGCGCGCTGCTTAGTGAGTGGCGGTCGTATGATATATGGGGTGAATGAATGAGTAACAGAGATGGTGCTCCGGCGCCTTGAAAATCAAGGGTCGTATGATATATTGGTGAACGGATTTTCCTTACAAACTAACACTACTCCTAGGAAAGCAAGTAAACATATTGAAAGTGCATTACAGGAAAGTATAATTTGCTCCGTGGGAGGCTTTTGTTTGGTGTTTGAACCTTGTGAATGTAGCTTGAGCCTTGTATTTATAGGAAGAGTTCTTGGAGGAGTAATCGAGGCTAAAAATGTGCATGGTGGAGCCTGATTAGAGCAAGTGGGTAGTCCAATCGACATTTGGGATCGTGAAGCATGGTGGTGTGACCCCATAAATCCCGGTGAATCTCGGCCGCCGCCCTGATCGTGGATTCTGCGCTTCTGGCCATGGAGACGCATTTATTGTTTCTGATAGTTGGTGACCCAATCTCTCAATGCAAGAATTCTTGTGAGAATGTCTGCGTCTAATCACTCTGATTCCTGTCACCAAACCCTGACTTCAGTCACTTCCCGCCTTCCCTCATGCATTAAATGCTTATTCGTGGTCAGTGGGTTTGTTACCATAAACAGGGGCATTGCTTCATTAAATGAAGCGTGGGACCCTGCTGCCACTTGATGATCTGAGCTTAGTGCCTTTGGCCGTGATTTTGTTCGGCTTCGGCCTCGGCCTATAATCAAGGCCGAGATGATCATGCCTTCACGACTTTTCCTTCGCTTTTTTAGGAAGGCCAGACATCGTGGCGAAATGCCGCGTTTTAGCCTCACGAGTAAGTGTTAGGGTCGAGAAAAGGGGCTCCCTCGGTCAGTTCTTGGCCGTGATTTATGAGGCACAAATAGATCATGGTGGAGCCTGATCATAGCAAGTGGGTAGTCAAATCGGCATTTGGGATCGTGAAGCATGGTGGTGTGACCCCGTAAATCTCGGTAAATCTCGGCCGCCGCCCTGATCATGGGTTCTGCACCCTTGGCCATGGAGATGCATTTAATGCTCTGATAGCTGGTGACCTAATCTCTCAAGCTGTAAGAATATTTGTGAGAAATGATAACGCCATCGTCCACTTCCAGATTCGGCCACGCATGATCGGCCGAGTGAGCATATACTTGATGAGGTCGGTCTTGGAGATGATCTGAACGACCGAGGGAAGCATGTAATGACGCAACTTGGTAGCTGCGAAGTAGAGTGCTAGGCATAACTTCTCGATCTGTGAATAGTTTAGCTCGGCTATGTTAAGGGTGCGGCTCAGATAGTCCACCGCTTGTTCTCGTTCAGACTCGTTGTTCTGAGCCAGCAGACAGCCGATAGAGCCCTCTGAAGCCGAAAGGTACAGCCTCAAGGGCTTCCCTCTTTTTGGCGGCATAAGGACCGGTGGTTGAGATAAATATCTCTTGATGTCGTCGAGGGCCGCTTGATGTTCTGCCCCCCACACGAACCGCTCCGTGTCTTTCAGTTTGAGCAGAGGAGTCAACGGCCGAATTTTCCCTGCCAAGTTGGATATGAATCGCTTCAAAAAGTTGACTTTGCCGAGGAAGGACTGATGTTCCTTCTTAGTCCTCGGCGGAGGTGCCGCCATAATGGCCGTAGCTTTATTTTTATCCACTTCAATCTCTCGTTGGTGAACCAAGAAACCGAGAAAGTTCCCGGCGGTGACGCCGAAAGCACATTTCTTAAGGGTCATCTTCAGGCCGTGCGCCCGCATTCGGTTGAAAGCCTGTCGGAGATGCCCTACGTGGTCAGCTTTGGACGGGGATTTCACAACCACGTCGTCGATGTAGACTTCAACGGTTCGGCCAATAAGGTCGTGAAAAATAAGGTTCATAGCTCGTTGGTATGTCGTGCCGGCATTCTTTAGGCTGAATGGCATGACCACCCACTCATGGTGGAGCCTGATCATAGCAAGTGGGTAGTCAAATCGGCATTTGGGATCGTGAAGCATGGTGGTGTGACCCCGTAAATCTCGGTAAATCTCGGCCGCCGCCCTGATCATGGGTTCTGCACCCTTGGCCATGGAGATGCATTTAATGCTCTGATAGCTGGTGACCTAATCTCTCAAGCTGTAAGAATATTTGTGAGAAAGTTTGTGCCTAACCACTCTGATTTCCATCACCAAAACCCTGACTTCAGTCACTTCCCATCTTCCCTCGTGCATTAAATGCTTTTTTGCGGCTAGTGGGTTTGCTGCCATAATCAGAGGCATTACTTCATTAAATGAAGTGTGGGACCCTGTCGCCCACGTGACGATCTATCCTCAATCTCTCTGGCCGTGTCTCTTTCGCCCCTCGGTCTCGGCCTAATTTACCGCGGTCGCGAGGCCGAGAGGAAGTTCTTTCGGTCAATCCACGACCGAGATTTATTAGGCACAAACAAAATATGGCTTATATAATTTTCGGCATTATAAGGTAATGGATGCGCTCATACCAACTCACATGCACCGGATCCCATCAAAAGTCTGAAGTTGAGCATGTTTGGCCGAGAATAGTACTAGGATGGGTGACCTTCTGGGAAGTCCTTGTGTTGCATCCCCTTCTTTTTGTAGTTTTGACGTTTCTATTGTCGTGGACGTTTGTTTTCTGTCATCTTCATTGGGCTATATTTTTTTTTTTCATGACACCGTGCAACACATCTCTAATGAACTAGGGATTGGAAAGGAACAAAAATGAAAAAACTGCGTTACCCACGCACTGGTGAAATTTTTGGGGTTGTTTTTGTTTTTTATTAAATTATCATTCGTTAGGCCCCACGACCGATTGGAACCTGCAGATTGGCAGGCCTGCGCATGTCATGTAGGGGGTGTTCGATAGGCAACCCATGGTCATTTGGCATGGCTCAAACATGACTTATATACTTTTAGGCGTTATAAATTAACATATGCACTCATACCAACTCACATGCACCGGATCCCATTAGAACTCCGAAGTCAAGCGAGTTTGAGCGAGAGTAATACTAGGATGGGTGCCCTCTTTAGAAGTTCTCGTGTTGCATCCCCTTCTTTTTGCGTTTTGGACATTCCAATTGTCGTGGGCATTTGCTTTTCGTTTTCGTCATCTAGCTGTTGTTTTTTTGCATGACACCGTGGAGCTTGTCTCTAATTAACTAGAAACCGGAAGGGAACAAAACGAAAAAAAAGTACACTGCCAAAATTTTTGGGGCTTTTGTTGTTTTTGTGTTCAATTATTGTTGGGTAGACCCCACAGCTGATTGGAACTAGCGGATCGGCAGGCATGGGGTAGTCGATAGGCAACCCATGGTCATATGGCATGGGTCAAACATGGGTTATATACTTTTAATTGTTATAAGCTAACAGATGCGCTCATACCAACTCGCATGCCTCGGATCCCATTAGAACTCCGAAGTCAAGCGATAGTAGCACTAGGATGGGTTAGCTCCAGGGGAAGTCCTCATGTTGCATCCCTTTCTTTTTGTGTTTTTGACATTTCAATTGTCGTGGGCTTTTGCTTTCCGTTGTCTTCATCTAGCTGTTATTTTTTTTATCATGACCCAGTAGAGCCGTCCCTAATTAACCAGGGACTACAAAGGAACCAAAATGAAAAAATTAGAGGGACTGACGCGCTGTCAAAATTTTTGGGTAGGCCCCATAGCCGATTGGAACTGGCGGATCGGTAGGCCTGCACATAGTGCAAGGTAGGGGTGGCGACGGCAATGCCTGACAACCCATTCCATTTCATGAGACAGCATGCTATGTCATGCGGGGGGATGTTCAATAGTCAACCCATGGTCATATGGCATGACTCAAACATTGCTTATATACTTTTAGGCATTATAAGCTAACATATGCGCTCATACAAAACTCACATATACCGGATCCCATAAGAACTCCGAAGTTAAGTGTGTTTCGGCAGGAATAGTACTAGGATGGGTGACCTTCTGGGAAGTCCTCGTGTTGCATCTCAATCTTTTTTCATTTTTGACATTTCAATTGTTGTGGGCGATTGCTTTCTGTCTTCTTGATATGGCTATTCTTATTTTTTCATGACAATGTTGAGCTCGTCTCTAATTAACTAGGAACTAGAAAGGAACGAAAACAAAAAAATAGCAGGACCCACGCATTGCCGAAATTTTGGGGTTGTTTTTTGTTTTTAGTTCAAGTATCGTTGGGTAGGCACAAGAGCCAATTGGAATCAGCATTTCGGCAGGGCTGCCTGTGGGGCAAGGTAAGGGTGGGGATGCCAAGGCCTGACAGCCCATGCCATTTCATGCGAAGACATGCTATGTCCCGCGGGGGGTGTTTGATAGGCAACCCATGGTCATATATGGAATGGCTCAAACAAGGCATATATACTTTTAAACGTTATAAGCTAACGGATGTGTTCATACTAACTCACATGCACCGAATCCCATTAGAACTTCGAAGTCAAGTGAGTTTGGGCGAGAGTAGTGCTAGGATGGGTGAGCTCCTGGGAAGTCCTAGTGTTGTATCCCTTTCTTTTTGCATTTTTTACATTTCAATTGTCGTGGGCTTTTGCTTTCTGTCATCTTCATTTGGCATTCTTTTGTTTTCATGACAATGTGGAGCTCGTCTCCAATTAACTAAGAACCGAAAAGAAACAAAAACAAAAAAACAGTGCG